AGTCTATCTAGTGTACCTGGCCTAAGGCAGGTGCCAGACCAATCACTGGACTAATTTAGCAATCACACACACTTAATCCTAGCACTCTTAATCCTAGTATTGCACCCTGAATCAATCCTAGCATCAAACACTCTAGATCCAGACATCTCTGAAAAATCCCGTCATGACTTTATGAGGCTTTGGGGAGCAAGTGTACAGTTTTGTCAAAAACCATCAATCTGTGCTTTCAAAATGATAAATTTTTATTTCTTTTTTCATGATTAAATATGTTTTTATTGTCACAATGAATTGCTTTGTCAGATATACATTGTAGATTTCAGTATGGCATCAAAATAAAAATATTTTCCTGAATGTCAAAATGTGAACAAAAGAGATGGCAATGGCATTTTAAAAAAGGAAATTCACACTGGTGGTGAAGCTGCTAGTGGGTTGCTGATAAAAACTGGAACACATCTGCGGACAAAACAATCTGCGACATTGCAAATAAAATGGCAGTGGTGTAAGGCTAACAAAACCAGGAGAACAGTTAAAATACAGACCCTAAGGAGTACATATCCAAAGAACGGCAGTCTTAGCATTTCAAGTCCATATTATGTTGTCTGATTTAGTTTTGGAACTGGAATTCTTAAGTAAACATCTATCCTATAAAATGAAACTATTCGGAGTTTAAACTTCTTTAACAACTTCCTTATTCTTAGAGATTTTAACTAGTCCAGAGGAAAGGCAGTTAAGCTCGAAGCATTAACTTCCTGGGCTTACCCATAAATGGTGGGTCATGCCATTTCCAAACCAGGAACTCAACATACTCTTGAATGTCTTAGTGCTTTCACACAGTCCAGGCAAAAAATACAAAACAAGTAGTAATTAATTAAATAAAAATATAAGTGTTTCCCACCAGTCTCTATAAATTCTGTAGTTACCCTCTAAATGGCAACTTAAAAAAATAACAAATCTTTTTCACCAAGATTACCAAATGATTTATTAAATGTCTTTCCTCCACAAATAAAACTAACACTAGGATTTGTCAGAAGATCTAAATGAATTATATCCCTTGTATATGAATTTAGCTGAATCGCTCTCTCTCTCTCTCTCTGGAATCTGCTGATCATAAAACTCAGGTCTGGCACATAATTCCTTTTGTTATCCACTGCTGTTATCCTCTAAGACTCCAGAACAGAGACCGTAATGTGCTAGTGCAACAGAGCAATCACTGTCATCACCAAAAGAAAAGTAATTAACTTATTTGATGATATAGTTATTTGGATGATTATTTACTGGTAAATTAGTATTTCTACATTTTTTTTTAAAAAAGTCAACCACTTTAAGTGACGATATGTATCAGGCTAGTAGAAAAAAGTTGAAACAAAGCCCTCTCTTTTGACCTCACAAAGTCACGCAGACAAGAGAAGGTAAGTATATCTGATTTGTTCTAATCAGGCTTCTTGGAATTAACAAAATGTTTTTTCTCACAAATATGTATTTGGCTCATTGTAGAAAGAAGTTCTTTAAAGGCTGCTGCTAAACTTGTTTCCCTTTGAAAAAGTAAATTTCAAGGAATGATAATGCAAGAGGGAAGTTTTTGATTTATAGAACGTTTATAGATTGTGCTTAGTCTCTAATATCCAATTTATTTTAAATAACAGAAACTACACTGATAAAGTTTCATTTTTCCTAAATTTACCAGTACATCCATGAATCGCACCAGAATTAGGACAATTTGATTATCTTAATGATTTTGTTGTGAAACCTGCGCACTGCGTCCGAAGATAAGAAACAGCAGACAGATATTCTTACAAGTTCTGTGCACAAGGACATTCCTCTTGGGAGCCAAGATATCTGAGAAAGCAGTTCTCCCCCAAAACTCTCAATAAGCAATTCTGAAAAACAGTCATAGGTAGAGTTTCTTTTGTTCTGCGAAATCTGGGAGGTCTGAGTATTCCTAGGGTCTTCAGGTTGTATCATGGGTCGTGAATCCTATGAATGTGAGAATACACTATTAGAGGACTCTGTAGGGTCAATCAAATTTTCATAATCGCTGCCATCTGGTTCTTCACCACTGTCAGCAGCTGCTCTTTGGAAGGAAGGTCTGCTCCACTTCCAGGATACTTGAGTCCGGAATTGGTGGAAGCATAACTGGATGAGCTCAGGGCTTGAGGTCTAGGCATAAAGGCACCCCTTTCCGTGTGAGAATGGCTCAGAGTACTTTCTTGATTGGGTGACAATCAGAGTAAGGGGGAGGAGGATCAGAGTGTTCTGCGTCTCCAAATGCACTTCTACCTTCAGCTGCAAACCCAGAATAGGGCATCCGAGGACTGAATACTGGTTCCAGACTTTCAGATAGTATCTGCTTAACATAGCCGGCTGCAATCCTGTACTTTCGCCTGAAGTGCATTACAAATCTGATAAATTGCTCTGATGTCTTTTATTACTCCATCCTTGTCAAAAAAGTAAGTACCGTGTTCTTTAACAACTTTGGCATAACTCAGAAGTATTTGGCACTGAAAACATCTTGTACTCTTGCTGGCTAGTATCGTCTAGATTGGGAATAGTAAGTGATATCCTTTGATTATATCTGTGATTTGGTCTAAAGAGAACATATTCTAAAGTATGAGTGGAATTGTTGGCGGTGGACATGAAGCTGAAGAGAAGGAAGACAAGGTCAGGCACACCACGGATGCGGGTGAGCTGTTTATAGATAACATGCTCTCTGTATGATATCTGTTGTTGTGTGTTTCACCGGAATCTGTACCACCCAGTAACTTTCTTTCTCCGATCTTTAAGAATTATGTCCAGACTCTCTTCATTAACTTTACTTGAGTAGTCATAAAAATTGAAAAGTTGTGAACAAGGCTGATGGTTACGGATTTCAATTAGTTGCAGAAATTCTGTGTTGCTAATTTGTGAGTCACTGATGCTAAAAGTTTCTTCCTGATTTACCTCCCTCAACAAAAATCCTTCATGGTCTGCATTGCTGTTGGCACTGAGGAAACACAGTGCTGAAGGTGTAGCCCAAAATGGAAGCTGCCATGATGTAAATCTCCCACTCCCCCATCATGTCTTTCAAAGACTGCACAGCCTTCGGTGGGAAATTTTTATTTCTGTACATTATACCTCAATTCTGATAAAAGTAGTTAAGGAGAACAAGAAAACTGTGAAATAACAAAAAAGATAACAGAATGGAAAATAATTTCTTTCAATACAAAGAAACTATTAGTGATTTAAGAAAATGTTTGAATCACTTTTTCAAAATCACTTATGGAAAGGATAAGTAGAATACAGCATAGAAGATATTTCAGTCATATTTACCTATCTGAGAAATTAAAATAGAATTAAAATTAAAATAGAAAAACCATTGCCTTTTCTATTTCAGTTAGTGTATCTTGCAAAAAAAAAAAAATCATGGGAAAGGGAGGAGATCATAGTACCCCACGGGTTCTATTTTAGGAAATTTTGGGTAGGGCCTGAGGTGCTACTATATTCCTAACAAGATATCAGGTGATGTCAGTGCTGCTGGTTCATCTACTGTTTTTCAAGTAGCATGGGCACAGATCACTTTTCTGAGGCAGTGATGGCTTATAGAAAGTGACAGTTTGGTCCAGCATTTTCCAAGATCTATATGGAATCCACTCCTGCCATCAACTGAAGAATATTTACATGTAGAATGACAATTCAGCCCCCTTTCTAGTTATGACTGTAAACAGGAGCAGGTGCTTATGATGACAGTGGTTTTATGTCAATTAATTAACCGTGAATTCAAATCCTTGCTGTTTCTAACCTAAGGTGATAACTTGGGTTGGTTACTCCTACGTAGCAAAATAATAAAACAGATCCCACCTCGTCTTCCAATGCTACTGTTAAGATTGTAATAGAAAATGTAACTGAAAGTTTACATGAACCATAACTTTAAAAAAAAAAAAAAGCTTAAAAACTAGCAGTTTAATAAGGGGCGGGGGCCTTTAAATAAGAGGTGGGGCTTTGGGATTATCCGGGTGGGAGCCCAAGGAATGTACCAATTATTGGGGAGGTATGACCCTCCAAAAGTAATCGTAATAAAGAAGTTTCTGAATTTAAAGTTATGTCTAAATCAAGACACATGAAATACGAACTTTTCTCTCACTGTATTAGTCGACTGACATCTTACTGGGAGGGTAGCGGTGTATTTCGCTTCAGTCTCCAACTGTCAAGCAGAGTCCTACTACCCACGCACTCGGGTTGCTTTCTGGCTCCCAGCCCCACTTTCCCGCCCCCAGCTCCCCAAACCCCTGCCCGGGGCAGTAGATTCCACTACGCGGAAAGGGGCGGTAGTAATGGACTCGTCTATCTCTTCTCCCTACGGAGGGAGGATGTGAGGGGCCACTTTGCAGAGAACGGTAAGAAACCGGCCAGGAGATAGGAGATCCCAGTGAAAGTCGAGTCAGGCCGGGGCATCCTTGCAGTAGGGTCGGGGCCAGTCCGCAGGCGCCTCGCGGGC